ATATAATTATGATATATACATTAATAGTATATATAATATATCATAATATATATACGTATATATATATATATATATATATATATATATATATATATATATATAACTTCAGCTTTTCTCGTGAGTTGAATGAACAGAATTTGATTGAGGAGAGTGTTATATTCGATGGATTATTTAGATTCTAAGTCTGACGGATACATTACGCATTTTCATTTTTTCTTTTTTCTTTGTTTCTTCCCTGTACCATTTTCTTATATACACATATCCTGTATATACATGGTCATAAGACACTTTTCTGTATGACAAATCTCTTGGAATCTCGTCTCTATATTCCTGATTAATAATATATAACAATAAGTTGTGCTCCGTCATTAAAAAAAAGTTTGCCATCATGTTAAGCCAAAGGAAATAGCAAATGAACCAGTTTAAAAAAAAATAAAACTTCATGAAAAGTTTATGGGGTTTTCATTTTTAAAATAAATTTACGACTTCCTCGCCAAGGTGAAATGAATGCATAGAAGTGAGAGGAAATATTTGACTCAACAGCCATTATTCATTTTGTTTACAGAAGTAAACATTACATTCAGAGAGTGTGTATACAAAGAAGCCTATCTAATATTTGGGCTGGTAAATAAGAACAAAACCTCAATATTTTAAGACATTATACAATAGTCCAATGAAAGAAAAATTAACTTATTTGGGTTTGATGTTTTGTGGAATCTCCTGAAACAAAAAGCAGAAAAACAAGAGAGATTTGAAAGACTGTGTCATGGGTCCTTACCTATAACTACAGAATGAATCCTTCCCAACACTATGTATACTATGCCTCTCAAGAGAGAGAGGGGAAGGGGAATCGTGAGTAGATTCTGGATTTTAGTTTTAGTTTAATTTTCAGGCCAATTCTGGGGACCAATATGCAAACTTTAATGATGTATTGTGAAAAGTTATTCCACATTTAATTTTTTTATTTTGTCGTCCAATATAAGAGGTGGTGCTGAAAAGTTCCTAATTCACAAAATCTGACCAAAACATCAATTTTTTTTTCCTGAATCGTTTAACAACAACAACAGCTTCTTAACATAATGGAAAACTTTTTCTTTTCACTCAGTTACTAAGTTTGTCAGAATCCTTGTACATTTGGTTCTCGTTTGAATCCTATGCTACTTTAAACTCACAGCTAGTTTTTTACGTGAATGGTAAATGGTTTGCGACTACAAAAATTATCTTGTAAAATAACATGAAAGAATGAAAAATGCAATTTGTACGGGAAACAACCGTTCGTTACTTCGTGAAGGTTCCTTTGAAGAGTTACGTTTGGAGAAAATAATTTTTAATTACAAATTTAGTAACCAAAATAAAGTAAGTAAAATAATGTTTACAAAATTTCGAATAATGAAAATGAAAAACAGCGCAAACACAATTTGGTAATTATTTCAGGTCACAATTTAAGCAATAAGTTAAAATAAAAATAGCACTATGTCAAGGCAATCCTTAACCGTTACAAAGAATGCAGGTGATCATAGGCTATGTAATAAGCCATGAAACCAAAGTTTAATGCCTCAATAAATAATAAAAAATAAAATGGATTTTATTTTTAACTGAGAAAATTAAGATGCATTTTTGGCTGCACACCTAACTAGAGTTGCTTCCCTTGACCACATTGCTAGCAATTTGGATTACATTCGGATAGTTCTAAAATCCATAATATCAGAACTGTAAAACAGAAAAATATGCAAGTAACGAATACTGATTTTGCAAAAGAAAAAGGAAATAAAGAGACGAATTTTAGAAAATTAATTATCATTTACGATTAAAAAAAACAAAAAAAAACAAAAAAAAACAAAAAAACTTGTGAATAAAAATTTTTACCGGTTAGGTAAAGAAGCAAAAATGTAAGACAAAGAGGAAGTTGAGATTTTTTTTATTTTATCATATTTTGTGGCAGTGGAGCAGGAAGATAAAACTATTTAATTAATAGCAGACTTTTATTTCACAAACCCCCAAAATGACGATCAAGAAAGCTTGAAAATTAAATTATCAAACGCAAGAAAGGAAAACAAATTCAAAACCGAAAACTCGAGAGTAGCAAATAAAAAAGAGGAAAAAAGAATTTAATTCAGTAAAGTTTTTTATGCAATGTCATCAAACAGCTGTTTCAAAAGATGAAAATAAAAGTAGAAGCAGTACACTACATTACACTACGCCACGGTAAAGTTTTATAACATTTTTGTTTGTTGTTTAAAAAACAACAAAAATGTTATAAAACTTTAAACTAAAGAAACTAATAAATTTGGATTTGCATACAAAAAGAAAATGTTGCTAAGATTCAATCTTTTTTTTTATTAAACAAAAACAAAACAATACTTCATTGTGAATATTTTGTCTTATACAATCTAGGAAAACAAAAACAACCTCGCAGAAGTTGAATGTTGATTGACAAAAAATCTCTCAAGTTGTATAAAATTAAAAATTTTATTATTGGATACAACTTGAGATTTTTTTAGATTAGTTAAAAATAATTTATTATTTCAATAGCCACTTACAATCAAATTTTATTACATAGGGAGCAAATGTGACAACGATCATAAAAAAAAAAAAAAAAGTTTTTTATTTAGAAAATGATGAAACGGAAAATCTGACCAGCTGACCTCAATGTGAAAAATACTGAAACCTAGAGTCAAATTATTGAAGTGTTTAGTTTGCAATACTTATTTTCTTAGCCACCACTCATATTGCGAATATGACTTTTTTAGCACTTTGAGAAAGTTTTTAAAAAAATAATAAATGTATGATATTAACAAAAAATGTCTTATCAACAGAAACTAAAAAGAAACGGTGAACATGCAATTTATGAAATATGTAAAAGAAAAAAAAATTTAAAAATATCAACAAGAAGAATAATTGAAATTGAGCGCCAAGGAAAACAAAAAAATGTTTAAAAAAATACAATTTAATTTAATATTTATTTTTTATTCAATTTTATTTTTACCTAATAAGTTTTAAAAAATCTTCAATTCGAATTCACTGGATGCAATTAAACAACTTTATTTACAATTAACTTTTAAAAATAAAATCAAGCGAATTTTCTGGTTTTAAAAACAGTCAATAATGGTTTACTTTTTTTTCTTAATTTATTAAACAAAATAAATTATTTACTTGAGAAGTACTACAATGTTTTGGAACTTATTTAGAGCCAATTTTTCAAGAATTGAGACGATGAATATAGTCTTGCTTGTGAGTAAGGTTTGTTTTTTGTTTTTTTACTACCCCCACCCCTACCACATATGGCAATATGAAGTTTTGAAACAATTAAACTTCAACAAACACAAATTTCGAATTGTTCATTGTAATTTTTACAAATCAGATGAATTTACTGATTTAAAGTTGTTTTTTGGGGTTTTTTTCTCGCAGAAACAGAATTTCTTTTCCTAATTTTACCCACGTTAATTTAACAAGTCCGGTACGAAAATAAAAAAACTGTAAAATGTAAAAATTACCGCAAAAAGTTAGGATATGTTTTTAAAATAATTAAAAAGAAAGAAAAAATAAACATGGAACATTTTTTTTTTTAGTTCAGTGATTCGTTAACTTTTATTGTTTTTGCAAATACTTCTTCCATCTTTAACAGATCTTGAATTTGTTTTTGTGAAAAGCAAGTTGCAAGGACTAAGACTTTTTTAAAGTCTTTATAACAAAAAGGAAAAAACCTCTCCACTAAATTATAAATATTTTCTAAAAAACAAAATCAATTTGACGTTAAATATAAGTACTTTCTTTTTAGAAAAATATTTCTTAAAATTAAAATAAACATTTATTCTTTTTTTCTGAAGAAAAAACTTCAAAAATTCCCTGAATTCCAAAAATGCATTTAAAAGCAATTTTGTTAATTATGCAAATTATTCATATTTTTTATTTAAAAACTTGAAGTGGCTTTTGAAGTCGTGGAAAATATTACTCGACTTTAGAAAGCATTTTTTCAGATTGTAAGAAAATAAAAAACAAACTAAAATTTAATAATGGAAAGTAGAAACCACCCGAAGAAATTGATTTCTGTTTGACTTTAGTAAAATTTACGATAAAATGATCATTATTTCAAGTTATCACCACTTATAAGGGATTTTAAGTTAAAATGCCAGATGTTTTATATTTTTAATCATCAATAATCTCAAGAATGGTTTAAAACAAAAAGTTTTTCAAGTCAATGAGAAAAAAAAAACAATGACTTCTTTTTAAACGTTTTAAAAACTTTTTTTTTTTTTGCTAGTTGATGAAAAAAGTCATTGTATTTCTTCCTGCTTTTTTTTAATTCAAAAAATAGAGAAGTAAAGCAATTTTTAAACATTTTTTTTGCAAATAAAAAAAAAAATGAAGCTAAATATTTGAAACTTTTTGCATCTTTAAAAAATATTTTTTGACTGATGAATTTGAAAGTTTTTTTTAGTGAAACATTTTTTTTTTTTAAATATTTCAAGATTATTATATGTTTACGGAAAAAAATTTATAGCTATTATTTCAAACTTGTTTATAATTGATTATTTTTTTTATATTAAAACTTAAAGTTTACGAAAAAGGTTTTAAAAAGAAAGAAAAGGAAAGGTTACGCTAAAGTTAAAATAAATAGTTAAAAAAATAAAAACCTTGAGTGAGAGATAGTTGAAAACAAAAAATAATCCTCATTTAAAAAAAATAAAAATCCAATGGTGAATTTTTAACTTCACATATTTGCTGTGCCAAAATAGGACCTTAGGAAACAGACATTTTTGGTGCTTAGTTCTCTAATCAACACTTATATTTTGCGAGATTTAATTTTTTTTTATTTTAATTCAAGACTAAAAACAAAAAAAAAACAAAAATTCGTAAAATAGAAAAAAATCTGGTTTGATATTTTAAGGAAATTATCCCACTTTCATAAAAGTTAATTAAATTGTTAAATCACTAACAACAAAAGAAGTTTTAGACAACAAATAAATAGACAATAAATAATTAATTTAAAAAGTAATTACCAAATAGTCTTTTATAACTTTTCCTGTTGACATCATTTTCTTTATAATCCTGTAAGGTTGCATATTATGTTGGGAGAAAACTTAGGGTGGCTCGTTATTTTTTTCTTTTCTAAATTTTTCCTTTTTTATGAACTGAAAAAAATGAAGCACCAAGGTTGTTTTTTTTTTTAATTATTATAAATATTTATATGTAATATTTGTTTGTTTCGGCTGGTTTCTTCGTTGAGTTAGTAGTGTTTGTGTATTGGGTCAAAGCAGGATGGCGATGTTTTTTTAGGGTTCTGCTCGTCCAGCTGACTCAGCTGGGCACTGGCGAACCGACCAAATACGACGGTAAAGATGTGCTGTATGGCTGATGGCACTAACGACCCCAAATCAAGGTGATGCATAACAGAGTTATTTCCCTTGCCCGATTCACCGTTGTTGCTTAATACGACTTGAAAAAAGAAAGAAAATGTAAAAGTAAACGGCTCGTAAAAAAAAGGTTTCAATTTGACTTTTAGGGTTATCCATTTATGATTAAAATTGATTTCTATCTTAAAAATGTCATTGCGAATGCTTTATTAAAAATAAAAAGGAAAATTATATTACCTTTTAGTTTTAAACCAATATTCTTTACGTTTTTTGTTTTATCTCCTCAGTGGGGACACCTTGTTCAAATCGAATTGTAATCACTTTGAAAATAGTTACTTTTCCCATTTTTTTCATAAAATAAGAAATTCTCTTTTTATAACCTACAAATATAGCAGCAATAGATGAAATGATAATTCTAAATTATAAAAGGTTTTAAAAAATGCTACTTTAAAAAATATTAGACAGGTATCTCAGATATGTACTGGCGCCAGGGGTTGAGTTGAGTAAAAAAGGTAAAACAATCTTCCTTCAGCCTGATTTCTTTCATTTATCTTGTGCTGAACTAATCAAGCTTAGTAAATAATTATAAAAAAAGAATAATCAAAAAAATTTATATTGGAGAATAAATCTTTTACTTGGCGGGAATAAAAGAAAAAGTTACAAAAACTATGGTGAGATAATGTGTAAGCAGGAACTAGAGAGGAATTCCCAACTAGGAACAAACTCACAAAGTTGAAATAAATCAGTTTGGTATTTTTTTTTTTTTTTTTTTTTTGAGCAATAGGAATTGTGAAAGTGAAAGCGAGAGAGAGAGAGAGTAATGGGGAGAAAGAGAGAGTGGTGGAACAGGCTGCCAAGATTTTGCTTGTTTTCCAACTGTTCGTGTTTGTTACATCTTTAAAAACGAGTAAAAATTTTACAATATTTAATTTTAAAAAAGAATCATTTCTCAAATTGCAAGGCAAAAACGTGTCCAGCAACAGATCAGTTAATGCATGACACGCTCTTCAACATAAAAATTTGGGGAAAGCCCACATTTTGTAGGACAGTTGGCAACCCCTGTGTACCTCCAAACGAAGGGTTTCAAAAATTAATTTTTTATTTAAAAACAAAAAAAAACTATTGAAGCTTTTATTTTATTTTTGATTTCAAACTAATAAATTAAATTTGATATTTCAAACAATACTTTGCTGTATTTCGAAATTAATTTAAATTGGCAGGAATGATATTTTTTTAAATTGTTAAAAATGACCAAATCTGTCAGCACAACTTGATAATCTTTATTAAAAAATATTTGAAAAATAAATTACACTTTTCTGAAACATTATTTGAAGAAGATTAACTGTTTTAAAGTTTAACTAATCTGATCTGATTTGTTTAACTAATCTGATTTGAAACAAATATTAGTTAATTTTAATTTAAAATGCTGTAGAAAAGATTTTTTTTATACAATGGAAATGAGTGTTTTTAAGAGATGTTGTCAGCTCTCTCAATAGACTTATGTTTGAGAATTTCTGGAAGGAGACACTTACTGTAACAATTACTTGATGAATATAACTTGAATGCCTTTTTTATGCTATTTTTTTAACTACCCAGTAATCTTAAATTAGGAAAATATTCAAAGCAATTTAATATTTTATTGAATTTTAGATACTTTGATTTTATTGTCTTACTTGCAAAAATGCTTCTTGAGTAGATGTTAGAAAATTACTAATAAATTTTTAATATCATGTATGGACGTTACAAAAATTAGCACATTTATATATGCACAAAAAAAAAATTCTTTTTAAATTACTGGGGTTGCTAAATTGTAGTGAGCTTTTTCATTTATGATTAGTAAATATAGTTTTTACTTAATAGCAATATCATCTAACTGTTACAAATTAATACAGAATTTTGAAAGATTTTAAACTTTATAAATTATTATTACTAAAATTTAAAAACAGTTCCTCCAAAAAAAAAAGATTTTTTTAAGAAAATATAGTCTATAATATATCTTAAAAGCAATTAAAAGCTTTTATAATTAAATAATATCTTGGTTTTATTTCAATTTTTGTTTCACAATTCAGAGCAGTCTTAAAAATTGATGATTTAAATTCTACAAGAACTTTTTCTTATAACGAATATAAACATTAAGTTCTACAAAAGTGAATTTGTTAGAATTTTTAAAAATTAAATAAGTGGTGGGTAAGAGATGTAAAAAATACTTTTATCAAGATTTTCTAAAATAGAAACATTTCCAAAATAATTTCATTCATTTCTGAATAAGTCTTGAAAGTTTCATTAAAATTCAACTATTATCTGACTTTTGCAAGAATTTCAAAATTGATATGTTTTTCACTGCAAAAAAAGATGCTCAAATTTCCCATACTAATTTATGCTCACCTGTTGACACCTGTTTTTAACTGAAATTTTGAATGTTATAAAAGGGATTAAGAAATATAATTTAATAGTCAAAAAATTCTATGGCCTTTCCTCATAATAACGACATAAATATTTTGTCAATAAAACTTTGTCTTTAGGGCATTTTTTCATTATGATATGCTCACCTTTTAGCAATTTTTTGGAGGTAGTGCAAGGAACTGTTTTTCTTTCCTGACTTTATGAATGTACCATGTAAAATTCGGCATTAATTGCTCTTAAAAAGTGGCTGAGTTAGTATTAACAGAAACAGATATTAAACAGCCCTGATAATACAAATATATCAGTATGTGTTTAAGAATATTCAACGTAGAATAATTAAAATTGTTAGCATGTAAAGATTTAAAGGACACACACACAAAAGTGGATCAACATACCAAAATGGCATACTCCTAGAAAAATATTAGAAAAATAAAATTTAAAATAATATTAAAAATTTGTGGATGTAGAAGAAAACATATCACATACTATAAAAAGGAAAATTTTAACCAATAATTTGGTTTGAATAAATCAAAAAAAATTTTATTCCCTGAAATCAAATATATACAAGACTTTGTAACATGTTGTAGTCAGTTAACTCAAAATAGCCAGAGAAAGGAGAAAATAGCACAATATTTATCTTCCAAGTATTTCTGGAAAATTTATGAAATTGATTAGATACTTGCATTTGAATAATCATTGGTAATGTTTTGCTGTGATCAGTTGGCTTTCCAGGCAAGTTTTTGTTAGGTTTATTTGCAGTCTGCTTTTCTCTGAATGTTAAATATAGGATAAAGAAATAAAATAAAATTTTGAATGAGCTGCAGCTGTTTATATGCCAGATATTTTAGTGCCAGATTTTTGGTAATGGACATTTTTGAGTTTGGAAATTACATGAGAATAATTTGTCAAGTCCATAAAAAAATAAATAAATAAAAATTAATTATAGTGTCAAAAAAAATAATTATAACAAACTAATATAACAATTATAATTATCATTAATTTCCTCATTGCAAACCAATGAGAATTGACCCCACTTTTCTCTTCTACACAGACAAACATGTCACTTCTGGACAAGCAGTTCACACAGACAGGTCATTAACATGTGCATCAAAGAAAATTTCATCCCCTTTTCTTTTTCAGGCTATAAGAATAACATTTTTAGCATTCAATAAACATTTGAGATGAGAAAACTGCAAACATTTGTATTTTCTAACTAAATTATCTGGACACTCATTACACATATCTATAAAATACATACGAAAAAGACTGTACACTCTTTAATTTTTCTTTATCGTATCATTCTATCAGATTCCAATCAATATCTAATTTACATTTGACCCCAAACTCACAATTTTATTCAGTATTACTGTCTCTCATATCTCCAATACCACATAACAACCAGATAATAAATAATTCTTGTTGTTTCCATGAATGGCTGTTTCTCATTTTTACATGTATTTTTGTATATATACATGTTAGGGGGTTTATAATTATTTACTTCCCAACAACAAAAAAAAAACTGGGATAGAGGAGGACAACAACATTCAGAAAACAGTCTGCCTGCCTTATGTGAAGGGGTTATCAGAGAAAATACAAAGGATCTGCAGTCCATATAACATCAGGACAACCTTCAAAAGCTGGATGACACTTCGCAAATATCTCTCCCGACCATAGAGGAGAACATGACTAAAGACTGTGTGTATGCTATCCTGTGCAGCTGCGGAAAGAAATATAAAGGGGAGACAGGCTGCCCCTTAAGGTAAGGCTTCAAGAACACCAGAAAGCTGTAATACAAGGGGAAGTGGAAAAATCAGGCATGGCTGACCACATATGGAGAGAAAAGGGAGATCACCACTTTCTCTGGGGTCAGGTTGAGATCATAGACAAGGAACACCATTGGAAAATTTGTAAACTTAAGGAATCAGCACATATGCTAGGCCACAAAAATCTCCTGAGCCGACCAAGCATAGAAATGAATACAATATGGGAACAAGCAATAAAGAGTGCCAGAGGAAAGCGATAACAACAAAAAAAATTGCAATATAAGCACTGGTATAAAATGATTGCTGAAACACAGATGTCCTCAAGGACATATGGCACAGTGGATAAAGGCATTAGTTAGATCCAGTGACAGGACCCAAAGAGTGTGAGTTCAATACCTGGTTAAGGCAGTGGAGAACTTGGAGAGGGGAATTAACAGGAGATAACTGATAACTGACATCCATTAAACATGGTACATGGAACTAGAACAGTCTACCCCAGTGTGCGAAATAAAGGGT